GGGCGCGGGAGGGGAAAGGGGGCAGGCAGAGGCAGGAGCATCGGGTGTGCCCCCAGCGGCTCTGAGGAGGCGAGCCGCGAGCGTGGCCCGTCGCTCCTCGTCCGAGGACCTCCACCGACCCTCCGACGACATCAACGACGACGACGGGCCTCCACCGCCTCCAGAGACAGCGACAGGGGCAGCACGCGCCTCTCGTCGGGGAGATCTGCTGTCTTCACGCCCTCGCCCAGACCGCCCTTGCGAAGCGCTGGCATCTTCGCGACGCGCAGTCGCAACACAAGCCGCCGCGGCCGCCAGACCCAGGGCAAGCGTCGGCGGAACCGGGGGGGGGGCAGGACCACCCTCGGCTCTGGATGGGCTGCGCACCGTCAAAAAGGCCTGCAGCTCGAGCACGCAACAGGGCGGAAGGCCGACAGGGGCGAGTCAGCAGACCCCGGATCGCCCCTTCCGAAACCCCGCGCGGTTACAATTCCTGCAGCGGAAACCCCGACCATCAGGCGCCAAATCATGAGAGACAAGCGAAAAGTTTGGAGGCTTCGGCGGGGGCGCGCGGGCGCGGGGCTCATCCTTGGGGCCATCCCACCGATCAGAGTTCAGCACGCGTTTGTCAGCCCACGCGACAGACCTGGCACGATTCACCGCCTCGGCGAAGCGCAGCTCGGGCCCTTTGCCAAAGTTAGGGGCAACCGTGACAACATGCAACGCAACCGTGGCGAAGAAATCGGCCCGCGCGTTTCCCGCCCAAACCGTCACCTCCACTCCCCGACCGAGCGCCTCCTCGGGCGTCTTGTGGGACGGGGTCCAAGCGAAACGGGGCGGGGGGCGGGCCTGCCGCTCGACCGCGGCTCTCATGGCTCGCCTAATCTCAGCGCGGCGCGCAGCGGCCGACACATCTCTCCCGCTCCACCGCTCACCCTCCTGAACCAGAGACAGGCGACAACTTGCAATTCTAGTTGCACGCGGCGCAGCAAGAATGGCCTGGAAGCCCGCATACCTGGCAGCCCTGGGCGCCGACTGGATCCCAGGGAAGCTTCCAAACCTGGCCACGGAGGGGCGGCCCTGGGAATCAAGCTGCACGATCGCCCAAGCACATCGCGCGACCTCGGGAGTCTGCATACCCTGGCCAGCCTCATCCGCGTAGGCCGTGCCTTCCCAGGGAACCTCGGGGCCACCCCTATGCAAACCACGGCTCAGGAGTTCGATCGGGCCTCTCAGACGCAGGAGGGATCAGCGGCAGCGCGAAAGCGTGCTGGACCGAATGAAAGAAAGTGGGGTCGGCCGGCTCCAACGCCTCCTTACGCGTAAGCTCGCGCGCGGCGACCCTACGCTTATGCTCACGCGTGTCTTCGTCTAAGGGGTCCTCTTCCGCGCCCTCAAGCAAGGCCGGGCGATCTAGCCACCGGTGGCCCAAAGTCTCGGGCTTGCCATTCTTACAAGTAAGAGAATTCGGTAAGGATACAAAGCCATGACAAAACTTCTTCTCTCTCGGCCACATAACGACTGTCCACGGGCACTGCAAAGCCCCCGGCTCTGCTGAGCCTCGCAGGGCGCGAGGGCCCTTCGCGCGCGCACGAACAGCGCGATGCCGGAGAACCTCTCCGTCGTAGCCTGGAAGGCGCTGCTGGGCACGTCTCATCTGCCACCGTTGGACTCCAGCATCCAGCATGTCGCGGAAGTCGCGGGGCGCCACAGCCAACAAAAAGAAATACGTATTCTCGTCGGAGATGACCTCGTACGCCGATCGCATAGACCAGTCAACTCGACGGAGCGTCATCCACAACGCCGAAAGTGGGCCTGTTACTTTAAACCATGCTTCAGCCTTCTGCATACGAGAAACCATCAGTTCCCATGCACGCTGCAGCTGAGTGGGAGAAACCTTGGCTTCCCACAGCCACGACGCGTACAAGTAGGGCAACTCCAGTGCCGCCGTGAAAATATGATCATAACGCGGGTTCCGTTGCATCACCATGCCTGTCGTCAAAGATGCCGCTGCCTTCACTCCAGCAAGGGCCCCCGCGAGCGTGCGCACAAGCTTCAGGACGTGCTCGGCCACGCCCATCACCGCCGCCCCGTGGAGGACCGCGGGTGCGAGGCCCGTGTTCTGGATCCGTGTCATCCGTCGAACTCCAGCAGCGCGCTTGAGGATGTGCAATCGTCGCACACGAATACGCAGCATGCTCATGCTGGCCTCCTCCTGCTTGCGCATAGGCCTGACCGTCGCGAGTTCGTGCCCAAGGTTCCTCATCCAACGCTGCCGGGTGATCTGGTGCTGCTTGGTGACGTGCTGCACCGCGCGCTCCGTGGCCACGTCCGACGCGACGTAGCCCAGCTTCTTCACATGCACAGGCAAATGAAGGTCCGCCAGAGCCACCTGGGCTTCATCAGCAGCGATGACCACGTCCTCAGCACACCTCGACCCTCGACCACTCCAACGCAGCGACGTGTCGTCAACTAGCTGGTGCGGCGTCACATTCGGGCAGATCGCCGAGAGCCTGCGCAT